GGCATGTAGAAAGCCCTCTACCACATTTTCCCATTGCTGGCAAGGAATGCAAGGAGGGGGGGACACTGAGTGGATTGCAGTAAGGTTATGATGGGCAAAGAAATATGACTGCTCCCTCCATGCAGGGTCCCTGCACAAGTCATATAAACTTGGTATTACTAGCAGAACCTAGTCTCTAGAATGGGGTTTCTAAACCCTTTCACAGCAAATCTCTTTCAAAGTGTTTTAACTACCTATTGATCAACTGCCAGAAAATGACAACTTGCTATCACTACTGCTAACTAAAGGTGAGGGTAGGGGACATGGCATATTGATTCTTTGGTGTTTATTCTGCTATGAAAAACAAAAAATCAGAAGTGTGTGAGGTGGGGAATTGATTCTTCAATGCTTGTCCTGATGCAAGGAGCAAACCACCAACAGCTCAAGTGGGCAGGGACCAGGCTCAAAGCACACAAAAGTAGGTTCTTCAATTCAGTTTAATTCAGTGTGGCTGGGAGGTGGAACAGAGGATGCTCTGAGTGCCAGGGTCTTACATGTGTTCAAGGGTTGGTGGAACAGGCTTATAGAAGAGAAATGTGTTAAGGATTGCTAAATACATCTGCCTCAGGCAGACTGTGACCTGCAAATGCTGGATGATGGGAGACTTTGGGGAGCACATACCATATGAGTTTCCTATGTTCTTCTCAGCTGCTGTCACAGACAGAATCCTGAATAAGGTGGATCTTTCCTTTGACCTGATATAGCTTTTTTCTTTTCTTTATTCTTGTTAGGCATTTTATAAATTGTGATGGTGATGCTATCTCTCTGCTTTGGCTCCTCTATTATCTCATCCATCAGCTGTTTCTTGTCTTTCTGACTGCCAGCAAAGATGAGCATTCTCAATGTGTCCAGCTAGTACCTTGCACTGTTGGGGTCACCTGGTGTGACCAAGTGCTTTCACAATATAGCCATTATTAAGAAATAGTATAGAAACATGGTGGATTGTATTTTTTTTTCTTTTTGTTGCCCTCTGGATTTTGTTATGACTATCATTTGGCTTCTGTAACCCAAATCAAATTAGTTAACCTATTTTGTTAAGAATGAAATGTTCCCAGCGATGTAGAGATCTTCTCAATTCTCACTTTGCCATGTAGTAAGCAACTTCAAGGGCTGTGGGTGGAATCATGATACCTTTTACTAAGAAGTTCTTGATTTTTTTCTCCCTCTTTCTATTAATGTAAATAATTTAGTATCTTGATGTATTGCTTTATTGATGTGTAAAACAAACAACCCCCAGTTGACACAAGAGTGCTTTTTTCTTGTTTGTTTGGGGTTTTTTTGTTGGGTTTTTTTTTCCTTTCCTTTTCTTTTCTTTTTTTGTTAGGCTGGGGCTTGGACTACTGAATTTTTCAAGAAGAATCATCCTTGCAGGTTTACTGGGAAATTGGGTCATAACTTTCTGTGGTTTACTGGCTAAGTGTTCACGAGCATCATCTATGCTGAACCATAATATTTGAAGAAGTCAATGAAACCTACAAGTCCAGGTTGCCAGCTATAAAACAACATTACTCTAGCAAGACTGTAAAGCTGGACGGAGAAACATAATACAAGGTAGCCTGGAAACATGGGAAGTAGAACCTGAAAACAATGGAATTGAGAATCAACCATAAACAAGGTGGTTGCATAGGCAAACTCTGACCACATATATTTGCAGTGCAACTTGCCCCTCTTAAACGGGGCAACTCTAGTCTGATGCCAGCTATAAAACAACATCACTCTAGCAAGACTGTAAAGCTGGACGGAGAGAAACATAATACAAGGTAGCCTGGAAACATGGGAAGTAGAACCTGAAAACAATGGAATTGAGAATCAACCATAAACAAGGTGGTTGCATAGGCAAACTCTGACCACATATTTGCAGTGCAACTTGCCCCTCTTAAACGGGGCAAGTCTAGTCTAAACTGAATTCCTGTTGTAGATTTGATTAGGGAAAAAATTATCTCATGGTGCTAACTACTGATGAAGAACTGATAATTTTTTCAGGACATTTGCAGTTTTGAGAACATCCATGTCTAAGAAATACTGTTCAAAAGAAAATACTCAGAAGACGCTAATTAGCACTGTATTTTTTTCTATAAAGTCACAGAGTATCCTGAGTTGGAAGGGACCCACAAGGATCATCAAAGTCTAGCTCTTCTACTTGCATAAACTGAGATGCAACCCTTTGGAAAAAAATGTTTTGTTAGAAATAAATAATGGATGCATAATGTTTCTGTGTGGATACTTACATAAAAATAGGATTTTGAAAAGTATATATTATTGTGCAAGTAGGGATGTCCCTAGGACCCAGAAGTAATGGGTTTTATAGATCCTTTCCACAGACTTGCATACCAGCTTGACAGACAGATGGTTTGGATTTTAAGCACTCAGACCAACAAAAATATCCAAAAAGGGAAAATCACTGGAATTTCAGATTTAGATAATCCCATCAATCAACCTGTTTTCTCAGCTGGGTAAATTTTCTGTTAATTTAGGAAAAAAATAACAAAATCATTTTTCACTACATCTTCTGAAATACTTCCAGAAGTTTGTTGCGATGTGATGTCGTGGCTTGTCTCAGTTACCCCGGTCCTTCCCCAGTGTCACTCACCTCTCCTTTCCCCCACCCTTGACCCCGGCTGGCACTGTCTATCAACCCAGAAGTTCCAGGGAAGCATTGAGTGATTGGCAGGTTCAAAGGATGCTCTCCACCCCCTGGGGGGCCATTGGCCCACCCAGGTGTCCCTCTCACCTGAGACCCCCTCCCCCCACACCTGGATTAGTGCTCCCTGGGTCCCCTCCCCCTCTTCCCAGGTAAAAGGACAGGCACACCACACACACAGGAGTTCTGCTGGAGTTGTTGCAGGATTCAGAGGCCATGCGGCCCAGAATAAAAACTCTGGATTAAAAACCTTCCACCAGGACCCACTCCTTCCTTCACCATCGCCTTTAAGGTTTCTCAGCTCAGGAAGGCCTGAGGAGTGACCCCTCGGCAGCAAGCTCCAGCCACAAGCACTGGAGCTCGGGACGTGCCCGGACGTGTCCCCATGTGCTCACAGAGAGCCAGAGCATCTCTGGGGTGCAAAGCACCACAGGTGTCACTATGTGGTTCAGCAGCAGGGACCAGGCAAGCCAAGGCAGTCCCGTTCAGTATAATGGTAAAATCCAATAGAAGTTCACATCCATACATCTCCCAGTCTTCCTCAGAGGAGATGATGTGCACAGGGTGTGTGATGGCAGGAGTTTGCTGATGCAGGGAACACATCGCTCCTTTCCCTTAATGTCAAGTGTTCATTTAATTAACTTGCTTAGGTGACTGTATTTTGCTACCAGTTATTTTCAGTAATAAAGTGAAATTCTCTGTTTGTGTAAAACACAAGTAAAGTTGAAACTAAAGTACGTCTTCCCATTTGTAGTAGGAGGCAAGTACAATAGAGCTGCCAAGAGAGGGGCTGACTCATTACAATCCCAGACACTGTATAGAGGAATACATCACATTTCCTGTCGTAAGTCCCCTGAAAGTGCTACTATCTCCAGCTTTGGATGGGTGTGCTGGAAGTTTCTTGTCTTATTGATCTTAGTGCAGCCCTTCGTTTGTGCACACAGGGTGCTTGGCTTGTGTGTGACACACTGAACTTGTAGGAGGAGTGAGAGCGTTTAGAAGTTACATCACCATTCTCTCATCCTTAATACCACTGCAGGTTTCCGAACCAGCCTCATGTCTTCTGCTTGTGGCCAGGGCAGTGGCTTGGTGTCAAGGCAACTCCAGGGGAATTTTGCCTCCCAGCTGCATTTTCTAATATGTGAGGACATGACTTGGTTTCTGTGCTCATCACAACTGCTTCCTCCAAGGTAAATTGCATATTAAAAATACGCTCATAGATACTTCAAAACGTGCCAAGACTATGGTCAGTGTGGGTTTCTCGGAGTTTTTTTGTTTGTTTGTTTTTACATTAGAAAACCATGTGGGGCCTTAAGGAGTGTGTCTTTCAGCATTGCTTTCAGAGGACCCTTTCTTCCTTACCTCTGCCACTAAAAATTCGCTTTGGACTGATGCTTGGTGCTGAAAGCTTGGCCTGAGGGTTCATTTTTCAATGTGTGAATTTCAGAAAATTGGCCATCAAAAAGAGGTGGTTTTGAACCTTTGTGAGATTTTTTTCTCCTGAAGAAAAATGCACACATTTGAACTGTCTGCTGTAGGGTCGGTGATGGTGAAGGAATTGTGCGCCCAAACCTATGTGCCCATTAGCCCTGTCCTATTTAAATTTTGAGCTGATTGTTCAGGTTCAGGCAATTTGTTGGGAAGGTATAGACAAAGACCCTGAAAATACTGACTTTCTGCAATTGATGTGAAAATAGGTGGCCAGTCAGAGGAGGGAGATCTTACACCCTGTCCTGAGGTGGACATCAGTGAGCCCATGTAGGTGCTTCTCCCTAGGGGAAAAATCCACAGCAGACTGGATGTTATTGCTTCTTCTGCTTATGGAGCTGCTTTGTTTTAATGTGTACTTCTTGGGAAACCTGGAAGAGAATTGTGATTTCTTTTTCCCCCCCCTTCTCTGAACACACTGCAAGATCAGGCAGCAGCACTTTATATCAGGTCCTTTTGTAGAAGACAATTATTAGTCAGCTGTATATGTGATGCTCATTAGTCAGATGTATATGTGATGTTTCTGTGATACCCCTAAAACTTCTTTCTGAGCCCTTAAACAAATTTGTTGTAGCAGTAGTATCTATCCATTTATCTTGCGTATTTGCAGTTGTATCTAGATGTATCCATTGGATGTCAGCTTCCTGCTCATTTGAGAATGGAGGAAGAGAAACCAAGCCATCAGGATTTCAGAGTATTTTACTCCTTTGTTGTGGAAGACGGGTTTGGGTTAACAGAAAGTCAAATTCTTTTTGGCAAATGACACAAATGTTGAATGAAAATGATTGCTTGAAGAATTTGTAAACTTATCTTTCATGTTTCTCAGTGCTGCTGATATTACTTGGGGAAAGTGAATCTGAAGCTCTTCTCAACTCAATGGGTCTTCAGTTTCACCATCATGTTTCTTGTAAGTAGAGAAATACCCAAACCAATTATAAAGATTTGCTTAAAATAGCGAAGAGGATGTTATTAATAGCAGATATAGTTTGCAGCCTGGTCCTGCGGTTATGCCGATGTTCCCCTTGGGGAATGAGGGGTGTCCCAAAGCTCCCGTGAAACGCGTGAGCCAAGGAGCATCTCTACTGCCCGGGGAGGCTCTGGGCTTGTTGCCTGCGAGTGGGGGTCGTTCGTAGTCCTGCAGGCTTGAGCCTGGACGGAGCCATATCTCCGGCTTGGCAGCTCCAGCCCGTCCGGCGAGGGGACAGCCCGGGCTGTGGCTCTCCCTGGGGACGAACCGGGGCCGGGGCCGGGCGGCGGCGCTCGGGGCCGGCGGTTTCCCGGGCGATGGGTGGGGAGAGGAGGAGGAGGAGGAGGAGGAGGAAGAGGAGGAGGAGGGGTCCCCGCGGCTTTATCTCCCACCCGGCTCCGCCCGCCGCCGGCTGTCTCCCGTGACCGCGCGGCACCGGCGGGCGAGCGCCGGCCAGGGCAGCGCCCATGGGCTGCGGCAACTCCACGGCCGNCACCGCAGCCGGCGGGGGTGCAGCCCCCGGGCGGGGGATGCCCGTCCGAGCCGCGGGAACCGCTGCCCGCCCTCTTGCAAGAGCATCTTCCTTTGCCGAGGCTGATCCGCTTGCTCAGGGCAGAGAGGGCGATGTGGCCTGCCGCGGGCACCGGCGGCTTTCTGGTGCCCGCTTGCCGCCAGAACCGCCACCTCCGACAGGAGCTGCCCGAGGCACGGCGAGCCCAGGCCGGGAGCTGGACGTAAGGATCCCGCCGGGGGTGTCCGCTCCCTCCTCTTCGCTTCCCTATAAGGCCACGAATGTCACTTCTGAAATGAATTTGTGCCACATCTTAGCCTTTTGCTTGTTGGAGAAGTTGGAGGATATTCCATGATTGAGGTTTCGTGCATGTTAATGTGTACTGCTGGCTGGTGTGTCCAGCTGGCTCCCTTATTTGTTCATTGCTATTTTCAAAAGAGATAAGATCTGGGAAGATGGTGCTGTTGTGCTCTTCCTCCCCTCTGCCCACGCAGAACAGGAAAGTACATGGAAACTGATAAGTGGACCTTCACCCTGTAATTATAATATGAGCATTTCTCAATCATTTTTCATGCTAGCTGCATGTGGCAAACATTGCCACCTGTTCCAGTACCTTTATCAAGTCTTTCAGATGCACTTGTGAGCTTTCAGCTCTTGAAAATGTGCAGAATAATGGTTGGACAACCTAGAATTACTGGGTCCCCATCTCTTACTGTTTTGATTTGCTTTGATTTAACCAGAGTTTCAGTGGTGTTTTGGGTGGTGCTGGTCCTGACTTGGTCCTGCCTGTGAGTGTGAGTGATGATGCCTTCTCTGGGGTGTACGTATGTGTGTATGCTTGTGGGGTGTGTATGCTTGTGGGGGGTGATGCTGTTCAACTCTGCACTAACACTCGGAGGGGAATGTGATTCTGCCATTCCTTACTCAGTTTCTGTTAAATTATTATAACTTAGCTTTTAGGTACTATGCCTATCCATCAGAGGCTTCTCTCACCCATAAAGAACACACTGTGTGAATTTGCTTGAACATTCAGTGCTCTTATTAGAGCTGTCCCATTTGCATACATGAATTCTCTCCCTTCACTTGATTCCCACATTGCTGTGACTGGAAGTTCCTACTATATATGACCAGTCTAGGTTCATACCACTGAGGTGATGCTTGTTCACATCCCATTTCTGTTTGCCGGATAAAAGCACCAGAGAAGTTCAGACAAGAATGTTGAGTCGATTATTAGTCCATTTGTGGTAGTTTCTAAGTTGATGTTGATTTGACTGCCCTGTGGAACTTGTACCAGGGTACAAATGGGTAAATGTCAAATAGCTAACTCTGACAGCAGTATTATTTTGAACTCAAAGTTTGTTTAAATGTGTCCCTTTGCATTAGAGGTAGTTGTCTTGAACAGGTTTTGGCTTATAGATACATTAAGTATTTTCACTGACGGTCTGACCTCTTTGATAATTAAACTTATTTATATGTTATACATAAAACATTTGAACTTGCATTTTTTGGTAAACTTTGGCATGCTCTTTTGAAATATTCCACAGATCTCTAAGGGCTTAGTGTAGGTAAAAACCAACAATGCCACATAAAACCCATCATTAGTGTAATGGAATTATTACTGTTGCACTGATAGACCTCTCCAAATCCAGTGCAGCTCTGAAAGGTCCAGTTCACTTCTCACTTTCACCACTGTCAGTCAGGAATTACTCTGTGCAGGCCATGGTCTTAAAATAACAAACAGCTGGTAATAAAAGCAACATGTTGGATGTCTCCTATGTATTTACTTCATTTAACATTCCTTACAAAGTGTGTCTAATAAAAATAAAATTCTTTTATAAAGGGGAAGGAGAAGACTTACCATTTTGGTTTGGAATCCTCAAACTTTTCAGGAAAATGCAACTCATAATTTGACAAAAAGATGTGACGACTGTGTAAATACAAATAAATTTTGTGGCATGCACAGCATGACTACATTTTTAATGCTAAAGTTATGACTATTCTGTAGTTAGTAATGTCAAAGCTAGAGGTACATAACATGTAATTAACCTGTAACTCTCTCTGTCATATCACAGGACTAAGTATAATACTGTAGCATACTTCACAGAACACATTAAATGTGTTACACCAATCCCCATTTTCTTACTCTAGTAAAATTCCTATTGTAGCCTAATTTGATTTTTCCTAAGCAGATGTATATATGGTGATAGTTCAGCTAATGATATTATCTTCTGTTGCATGGCTAGAATGACATCAGAGCTTTCAGCTCTATGGTCTGTGAGGTCTAAACTAATAGACATGATCTAGAATAACATTTCAGTCTGTGGTGCAGTACTCCAGAACACCAATATAACTCACAGCATTCAAATGTTCTTTCCAGAGTATCAGACAGTGGCAAAAAGCTCTTCAACTGAGAAATGGCAACTTCAGTTATCCAATAAACTGATGTATATACATCCTTCTTAAATTACCTGGCTATTTTATATATATATATATATTATGGCTTATAGTTATTTATCTCTCAACTTGCTGTTTTCCTTATGGTTTGTTGTCTCATTTTACATATACTTCTTTCATGTTATTTCCTAGAGTTTTAGAAGCTCAAAAATAGCTCCTTTTTGTGTCTTTTAAAAATATGCTCTTAAACATTTTTTTTTTTTAAATCCTGAGTTAAGGCATTTCCCTTCATTCTAATGATTCTTCAATAAAATTTTTTAACTGCCTCCTCCTTTCTGTATCTATTATAGTAGCAATGACAGCACCTTAAATTATAGTACTTTTTGGAGGCTGTCAGTCTAGCCTTAATTTAAATATATAGAGAAGCTGTTAGTCTGTGAAAAGCTTCAAGTACAGCCAAGTTATGATGAAGGAGAACTTTCATACCAAGTTTTAATAGATTTATTAACTTCAAGTTTGGTGTAATGCCCACAAAGCCATCATGCCCTTCTATTGATTGGGTCTAATCTGTGTACAGAACTCCCACCTGATGAGCTGAAGAAATAATCAATGTGAAACAAATTGATGATATTCTGTCCTCAGTTACAATGGGGGTATAAATAGAATAAATTAATTGATGTTAGAATGCGCTTCCTTACTGCTGACTGTTGGAGAACATCAGAAAGGAGCCTGCAGTAGAAAAGTCGTTCTTAACAATTGCATGTATGTGTGTGTAATTTGGAGGGGTTTTATTTGCTTTTTGTAACAATTTGATGTGCAAGAAAATGTCGTAGGGCATTGTTCATTTAAAAATATTAGGAAAATGTTTCATAATCTACTCAAAAGTCAGGTCCTGGCATTTTTTGTATCCATTTTATTCATGTGAGTGGTTGCCTCTCATGCTTTTCATATTTTTCTGAAGCTTTTGCCTCTCACCTTCACTCATGGTGCATTTCTCTGCACAGAAGAGTATCCTCAGTGGCTATAAATGTCTCTCAACCATCTTTTGCACTGGGCCTGCATTTACTGAAATCCTGCAGTGTCGCCAAGAGAAGCTGCTGTTGTTCTGAAAGCGCAAAACCTCCTCTCACCTAGTGGAAGATGCTCTGGATAAATTTGTCTTCTTTTTGACTTGTCACTGTTTAAATGCTGTGGGGTTTTTTGAGGGATCACAGATCCCTCATTCTGCTCTAGACAGAATGTTTTTCTTCTGTAATCACTGGGGCTCAGAGTAATGTGTGGCTGAATGGGCCATATTTATTTGCAGGCTCTACTCTTTCTTCTCCTTCTGCAGCTCCAAAATACCAAAATGCAGCTGTGATCCTATTGTGTAATGGTGTGAGCAGAGAGGTCATTCAGGACAGTTCAGTATTGCCTATTTTTTATGGATGTGGCTTTGTAGCTACTCTTCAATGTCTTGCTGAGGTTAGGTTAGAAAAACCAAGCAAACAAGAGCCTATCGAGATAAGGCTTGTAGGGTCAAGTGCTGCCTTTTTTTGGGCCAAGCTCTTATAGTGGGAAAAAATGGACAAGCTTTATATATGTGAGCCCTTTCTCAAGTCATTTATGGAAACCATCGTATCTATGAGAGCAGTAGGCCTTGCTGCTGTGGAGCGAGCTGCAGAGTGTTTGTGGATTGGTAGTAAACAAGATTCTTTGGCTGAACTTCCAGCAGAAGGAACTAGAGCAGCAATAAAATTGTGTTGCTCACTAAACATGCAAGAGTTAGACAAATATGTCAGTGAAGTTACAGGGTGAGGGTGAATGGATTGGACTTCACAAATAAGCTTGTCTGTATGAACTGAGATGTTTTTGGTTCCTTGAGAAATAACATCTATGTGTAAGGAATGTTCAGGCTCCCTAATGAACAAAAACTTAGAAGTTTTTACACAGAGATTTTTTTATAGTACACCTAGTTACAATTATGTGCATTTGCAAGCTCACAACTCTTGAAGGAAGAAAACTCCTTTGTTAACTGGAAACACTCTCAGATCTATTGTCAGGTACCTTAGAGACACTTGAGTGAATTTGAGCCAAACACTTGTTTCACTTTTGCTAGTGAAAAAGAGAAATAACCCCACTGAAATTAATGGAATCCCATCAATGGAAGTGAGGATAAACTAGTTTGCTGTGCTTATAAAAAAGTAGAAAACAATGTATTCCTTTTTATATGTATTTTTAAATTTATTGTAAAAGTAAAACAGATCTCTTAAAAAGTGAATTTGTTTTTATCATACTCAGTTCTCAAAGTTTTTTGTGCAAAATGCATTTCAAAACACTGCAGTGATTTTTCAGTAGTGTACCCTTGCTAATATTCCAAGAAAACAAGTGCTGCCATGTGTGAACATTAGTGGCATATTTCCAAACACGGATTTTTATAGCTCTACACAGAGCCCAGGCTGAGGGGTTTAAGTGACATCTCCCATCTCCAGAGTGAAGATGGATTTGTACCATAATGCATTGAAGACAGGCATGGCACTGAACATGAACATGGCACTGAGGTGCACCCAGTGACTGACTGGAACTTGATTATCACCTCTGGGGAGTGTAGAAGTGCTGTTGGCACACAATTCTTTTCCCTTGGCTTGAGGTTTCAGTTTGTGTATTAAACACTGTACTTTTGCTGTACTTCCTGCAAGCAAGACGCATTTTTCCGATGGGCATCCAAGGTGCTTAGACTCAGAAGAGTCTTGGCAAAGGCCTCTAAATGGGCCATGTACCTTTTTAGAGAAACTGATTTTGTTTGCAGATAATTTAGACTAAAAAATAAGAAAGTTATGGCCCTCATGCAGGCACGGCAAAGGAATAGTTTCTTCTGGAAAAAATAAAAATCCTGCTAGCTCCAGCTAGGCTTTTCAAAACACATGTTGTCTGAAGTGTTGCTGATGCCTGGGCTCTCTCTAGGGGTACAAGGGGGTGCCCTGAAGGCTCATGGCTGAGCTGAATGGATGAACTGGCCTCGGTAGCAGATGTCTCCCTACATTGACAGAGACTGAGCTCGCACAGCAATGCCAGCCTTCCACCTGGACACAATTAATTTGGGAGGTTTACATGTAGTGCTTTATAGATGTGCCCACAAAGCCAAAATGTCTCAGAGGGCTGCCTGGTGGAGTAAAGTTTTAAAACAAAGGCCTGAGCTTATTGTGACTAGAGATGCTCCCTCCAACTTCCATAAGGCTTTCTGCTGATACATGTAGCCATACTGAGATTGTGCTGACTCTGGAAGCAAGACTAACAGAAGAAAAATGTACAGTCTCATACAAGTCTAGTCTGTATTGTTGCTGGCAAAAGGAGGGATAGTCACAGCGTAGGAAATGGGAATAACTTTGCGTTCAGGAATTAGCTGTAAAGGGTGGTGTTTTCTGCCATTCAAGCAATCCATTCAGCTAGACAGCCAGAAAGCCTTGAAGGTCTATTTCTTCCTCTTGTTTAACATAAGAATGCAAAAGGCATATTCTTACACATCAAAGAGAGATGAAAGGTATTTGCTGTTTATATACATTTTTTGCCAGCAGAAGAAATAAAAGTTTTCCAAAAAATGAAGTACCATGGGAGAAAAAAAACACAACCTACCTCCAAACTCAAAAAATCTCTGGGATTGGCTGCTTCCGTTTCTTCAGAGTGAGCTCAGATCACTTTTTCCAGCTAAGTACTAAGAGGAAAGGAGAAGTGAAAGGTTTTTCTAATGTCTGCCCTAACTTCTGTAATTAAGAGAAGGGATAATTTACTGGTTACTCAGCTGAATTATATACTAACAAGAGCAACATAACATTAGTAACTTGGGAGGAGCAAGAAAGAGTTTGTATTTGGGTAAATGTTTGTCTCCCAGCAAGAAACATTTGAGTCACCAAAACAAAAAAGTCAGTCACTCATACCAGGCAGCCAGGTGGCAGCTTTTGTCTCTTTGGTTTTTTGTTAAATAGCAAGATGAATTAAGGGGTGGTTGATCTCGTTAGGTGTCTGGGGCTTTGGATGTGTTGTGTCCCAATGTTTATATTATTTCTGTCTAGTCATTTTATAAAACTTTGTTTATCTGTCAGGAAGAACGAGGCAGCATTTTACACATGTGGTGCCAGCTCTACAACTGCATCAAATGGCAGAATAATCAGGCATTTGGTTAGCTGTGCCAACTTTGTGACAGACAAAACCACCAGAGTTCTGAGCAAATGGAACCATATAAAATTCACAAAGATTATTTTTTTCTTATGTTGCTCCCATCTTCAGTGACTGCACCTGGGCACTGGTCCACAGCAGCATCATTCTCACACATGAGAGTCTGGCCCAGATGTGGTAGATTTAAGAGATTGAGTGGATAGTCATTAAGGATAAACTGAACAATCATGAGAAATGTGTTCTCTTACAGTAGCAAATTTTTGTTGCTATTTCTGTGTTGTTTAGGATAGAAAGACAGAAAAACAGTTACTGCACTCTTGGTTGGTTTAGAGGGGTATGCCATTATCTGCTAAACGTGTTTTGTTTTTTTTTTTTTTTTCTCTAGGTGCTACAGGGACTACTAAAGACGTGTAAGTACTTACTCTCCTCTACTACTTAAAATATATAACCCTGGACATATTTTCAGTCATACTAGCCTTATACTGGATTTAGTCATACATGATTCATCTGGCTTCTAACATATAATCAACACAACCTGATGTTTACTGTCCTTAGTGACAGCTTTCATCTCCACAAAACAACTCCTTGTCTTGTTTACTTTTCTAGAAATTTATTTGCTTGTTATTTCTCTAATAGAAATTTCTCTCCTTCTGTTGAGACTGTTTTCTAGAAGAGCTGGTTATGTTACTTCAGACTGCTTTTCCCCATCATATGCCAGTGCACCTTTTTCCAAAGGCCATGTAGTTGTATGAAGCCAGCACATAAATTTCCATCGGGCCCATTGAAGATTTAGAAAGCCACTGAAACAAACTGCCCCTCTTTGCATGAGACCCACTAACCCATCCAACTTCCTTTTCAGAGTACCCACCTTCTCTAGGTATTCTCTACATTAAAGATAGTATCTATTTGTTTGACATGGGGTAGCAGAGGGCAGCCCTACCCATCCTGTTTTTCTCTAAATCTGCAAGGTCTTTTTTAGGGCTATACTTACTTGCTGATACAGGAATGTACAGGAACAGCTTAATTCAGCCATAAATGTATTTTTCTACCAAAGAAAACCATAAAGAACTCCTCCTGAGGTCTTGTCTTCTCCTATTTCATGTAACTGGTATTTGTCACTAGAGTTTGCTACTGAGGGACCTGGGAAAGATTGTTATGTTATGCAATAGGAACACCTTTTGGTTTTATTTACTTCACCTAGAATAACTCCTCTAATTAGATGGAGGAATCCTGGTGTAGAAATGAGGGCAGTCAAGTCAGATAAACAAGTGGAGGGAAGAGCTTAACAAGAGGCTTGTGCTTGCTATTACAGAGCGAGGACAAGAGAACTAACAACAGGTGTCACTTGGCTGATCAACACTGTTGCCACAGATAGTCTTGAGATCTGTCTTACCTCTGTAGTCTGTTTTCTGGGCTTGCAGTGCCAGACAAGAAATAAATTACAGAAGGCAATCTTATAAGGAACCTCTTCTTGATGCAGCCTGCAGCATCACTGCCCTCAGTACTCCTGTATTTACAAACCCACTGGTTTAATTTACAGCAGGACATTATTTATTGTTCAGTTTAGATGGTTTAAGGACTGACTTAGAACTGCATCTTTCTTTTTGCTCATAAGTAGGTTTAAATTTCAAAATCTCATGCACTGTTGAATTATGAATGTTGTAGGCATGTTCCTGTTCTTAAAGGTATGGGAATGTGTAGAACTGTGTGTATATATAGAACTGTATTTAACTGTGTGTAAGCATTTTTAGAGCCTGACTGCAGGAGTTAAAATGGGAACATCCTACTTATTAGTGTGAGTTCATCTGTCATGCTTCAAAATAGTATCAAGATAACTTAGAAAAAAAATTAATTACTAGTGCAGTCTTCAACAAAGTGAAAGGGTCAGTCCTGGAGCTATTACTCATTCAGATTAAGGATAGTGGAGGCAGCCAAACAGCCCATATGAGTAATAGCAAGGTTGAACCTTCTCATCAGATATTAGAAATACACACCTACTAAAGTAAAGGCAGTGATGACCCAAAAGCCCGAATCAGGCATTCTAAAACTTAACAGAAGATTTTTATGAAGGAAGGAAATTATCAGAAAAATTATTTTCATTTCATAGAAATTAAAAAAGCAGATTTATATTAACTAATATTATAGATCCACAAAACCTTTTTACACCTTTTAATTTTCATCAGTTAAAGCTTCTCTTTAAATAACCCTTTTTTTTTCTTTTGCTGTCAAATTTCAGTCATATCAGTTTTGATCCAGAAAAACATTTAGGTGTGTCCATCCTTACATGCTTTTTGGTACCAAATCTGGTTATTCTAATGTGAGGTTTCTCATTTCTTGACTGTGACTCATTGCCAAAGCATCATGTCTCCTGGAGTGAGCAGCCAAATGGAAGGGGAGAGGGCTGGATCCTGCTCTGAGCCTTCCTGGGTGACAGTGGAGAAGCTTCTTTGCCCTCTGGGCCTGGAGTTTCTCCACCAATAAGATTGGGGTGATAATATGATCTTCCTCTGAAAGGGCTCTTCCTCTCTGAGGGCTGTGTGGTGACAAGGACACCTGCTCTGAGAACGTGTGTGCCCTCTCTGCTCCAACCCAGAATCTGCCAGACAGCTTCAGCCCATGCTCCTGCCCCACTAATAAAGAAACATTCATCACTGCCAATTGGGAAAGCCTAGCTGTAGGAAAAGTAAAGGATATGCTAGAAAGTAAGGCAATGCCTGTGGTATCAGTGTGTAGCTGAGTCTGTGTGAGGATTCGTTACAGTAGGAAGGAAAGGATACAGCAGTTCAAGCCTGTTTCAAAATATTGAGAGGAAATGCATCAAATACAAATTAAAGGCCCTTGTTCACAAGAAACACCAAGAATCTGAGGAGTAGTTGTCTGTCACTTGTTCAAAGTTCAATGAATCATTTCTGGTGGGACTACTGAGCACAGCTAGAAAGAGTCTCTATAATGCTCAGCACAAACACAGCCATAAAAGCTGAGGTAAGAAAAATGTGGATGGAAAGAATTGGTGTGAATGCCTGTCATCTGACATTTAAAATATGTGAGGAATGGTAGCTTCTTTTACCATCAAACAGACATAGGACTGATGGATGTAAAAGCTGACCAATGAACAAAGTGTGCTTTTCAGACTTTGGGTGACAGAAAGTCTCTTGGGACAGACAAAACCTTACCAAAAGAAGGTTTATTATTCAGCTGTAAATAGAATGCCATTTTGTGGATTTGCTGTTAAATCTGCCCATTAGCTCCAGGACTCTATCCATGCTACCTGCTGAAAACCGTGCTCTTGGCTCCTCTGCCGATGTCAACAGCGTCTGAGGCAACGACACAGCAGCCAGTCAGCACGAAGCTCCTTGAACTCTTAAGTTCCTTTTGCTGTCTATTCCTGATGCAGAAAAGCTTATCCTAGCTTGCTGTCCCTGGAGAACTGCTGGACTCCTTTGTCCATGTGAGCCCAGGAGATGTGGCAATGGGAGCACTGCCGAAACCAAAGGAGCTTCTCTCCAGTCTCACTCCCACGTGGTCGAACGTTGCTGTTGTGGCTTTGCTCCCTGGAGCCACCCGTGTTCAGCCAGCCTGGGCACAGGAGCAGCACCTGCCTCAGTGGCTCAGCAGACACTAAACATGCAAAATTAGTGGGCACCCTGCAAAAGGGTGAGCCATCGTGTGTGAAGGCAAGAGATGTGTGAATGTGTGTAGTAAATAAACTGGGGCAGCATTCCTTCCTGAGCCCCCAGGAAGGTGTGTAAAATGGCTTATTCCTTAAGTGCCATCATCCAAATTTTTCTTTCTTTTCCCTCTCACACTCCCATGTTACTGCTATCTTTGCTCACTCCCTCTTTTCTGGCAGGGCTACAACAGTTTGCCCCCAGTCAGTGCCCAGCCCAAGAGTTGTCATCTGTGCAATCCCAGATTATTTTTGCTTTCATGCATTTGAAGAAAAAGGTATTGCAAAATTACTACTTTGATTTATAGCTAGTAAGAGGAAAAGAAGAAAGCACAATGTTTTAAAACCCTCTTGTCTGCTTAATCATAGACCTGGATAATTTGTTTTGGTGAGAGAATTATAGTAATGGTCTGTGATGCCATATTACAAAACATTTCTGGAACAGAAAAAAATGACCCTGTTTCCTACCAGGATATTTTTTTTAAAAAAAAACCCATTGACATTAATTTCCTGTTGGACAATATTGATTATTATTCTTACAATGCCATTTCAGAGGCTTCAAGCTGTGCCTGAAGTTGTTGGCGCTTTTAAAGGACCCTTTTCTCTGGACAGTGGTTAATCTGGATTATAGAAAATGTTCCCAATTGTATGAGAAAATCAATCCTGTGACACTTTTGGTTGGTTCAACAGAAATGATTGTTTGTGATCTTTTGGGACCCAAAGTCCCTTTCCTTAAGTAGAATTTGTTTTCCCCCGTAAAAATACATCCTCATTTCCACCCACTGATATACACAGGCTTTCCATTTTCTTCAGGAGAAACTGGCCCACACTGTGACAGAGCAGCTTCACAGTCCTCATGAAAAAATGTCTCTGCATTCTCTGTCAGTGTGTGTGAAGACTGTAATATGACTTAGGTGACTACACGGGGTCACAGGAAATGGGAAATGCCTTCTGAAATGTCTCTGGTTCTTCCAGGAAGGGAGGCAGGAGGCCAGGGAATGAGGAGTTTATTGATCAGTCTTTCTTGAATGGTAAGATGTAGACAAAGACAGCAGACAAGGAGTGCTATGTCCTGCATAAATATAATTTAACAAAATTGCAGAATAATAAGAATTACTCCAAGCCTCAACTATTAAAAGGACCTGTGTACCCTTACTCACTGTGGTGATGCAGAAAGGATAGTTGATAATGTTCTGCCCCTTAGGAAGAAGGTAGATATCAGAAAATTTCCAAGATGTAGCAGATTTTTCAGGCATTTGTTCCCCTCCCAGGAGGTTTAAGGGCATTTTCTTGCACTTAAGAATGCATCTTGCTATGAGCCCTCTGCTCTTCAGGCCAAAATCCCATTGACCTCAGGGCTCTGTAAGGGCATAGAGCCCCAATAATTAAACAGCAGGCACATCAACCTTTTAGAGTAAATAAATTGGTCAGAGACCCAGCTAAAGTGAAACTGTTGCCCCATCCATACCCAGTCATGGAAGTAGAGCTCAGAATCTGAATTTTTAATCAAAGGAGGGTGAGTGATTTGTGTGGTGACTGGTGTTGGGACACAGACTGAGGCTGCAGCACAGGCATTGCAGGAATAAATTCTTTGTACTTTTTTTATTACCTTTGCCTTCACGTTACTTTAATCCCTGCTCCCTTTCATCTACACTGAACAGTACATAACTGGGAGGAATCAAAACTCAGTGACTCTATTGATCTGCAGACTGACCTGTGATTTTGCCCTAAAGTTAAAGGAGAAGTAATTTCCCATTTATATGGGATTAATAACAGCATTTTGGTCTGCAAACAACAGGAATTGCAGTGCCTCAATTTATAGAGGCCCTGTAACAGCTTATGGCTTCTGTCATAGCTGCTGTGTATGCTTCTCTCTCCTCATCCTCACTTACATGCCAGCACAGACACCCAGTCCCTCTCAGGAGAATTTCCTCTTTTAGGGGAATAGCAGTCCAGGCTTGTTCCTGTTATATGCTGAGCCTTAATGTTCTTTTCATGTGGGGAGTAGTGTGGAGACTTATTTAGGAGTAGTGTTAATTCATGTGGCTCTGCTCCCAAATCTACTTTGAGATCTCACTGGTGGGGTCATAAAAATTAAGCTGCATCTTTTCTCAATCCTTTATTTCTTCTGTACTGTATATTAGAAAATTGTACCTTTTTAAACCTGTGTGAGTACTTTGTTGAATGGTGAACGTCCTAATTTAAACTGGGATCAGTAACAGTTCTTCCCTTGCTTCTGAATTTACCCAGATGGACATGAAAGAAACAGTCTGCTAACATGCTTTGTATATTTTGATGTTGCAGAGCAGAAGAATCCATATCAGATGATGACAAAAGGAGGTAGGTGCTTTGCTCAACCAGGGTTGGCTTTACTTGCAGTAGGCTGCAGCGAGTTCTGCCACCAGTTCTTCATCCTTCCTTCCTTCCCTTCCTTCATCCTTCCTTCCCATCCTTCCTTCCCTCCTTTACTCCCAGCAACACCAACAAAGCAGAAGAGAAACAAAAAAAGAGGAGGAAATCTCACACAGAGTCGAGTATTGATGAGTCCACCCAGCCTGTTATTGAGCTGGGGAGGTGGGAACTTTGTGGCAAAAAGAGCACATTATCTCACAGCTGTAGGTGGTGTGCTCTGTAAGGGCTGCTGGCCTCTGCCTTCACACCAGCACTGCCACAGAAGGTGCCATTAGTGCTTGTGGGAGATCTCTGCTGGGCTGGAAGCTGAAGGAAGTATGAGTCTGTTATCAAGCAAATTAGAAATTGGCTCAGACCGCCAGGAACTGGAGGAGGTGTGATTGATTCCGCACCTAACAGGGCAGAGCAGTGTAAAGGGAGTCTCTGCAGGTAACTCCAGGCACATTTTTTTACCTCCCTTCATCGTTTTTACCTCCCTTCATCAATCCCTGCTTTTCATACAGGGCTCTTTGGAGCCAAAAAGTATCCTCTGCAAGTCCATGAAGGGGAGAGGTTTGGGCCATGAAAGTACCTAAGACACTTGTGCTCCTTTTTACTAACAGTTTTCTCCAAGTGTGACCCTAAGCAGGGGCAGGCAGGTTGCATTTATTAATGAGGTCAAAGTGCTATTGAACTGGTGTGCATTGTTTGAAGTGTGGTGCTTTGGTGGTCCCAGTGTCAAGCATCAGTGTCAGACTAGCTCTGTCCTCAACTGGATATACTCAGAAGAAGCTGGGCAGGTGGGGTTTATTAATTGTCGCAAGACAGCTGGGATCTCATGATAAACATCAGGAATTTGAGTGAAAAGCTAGCTCCTTCCACAGGGAGAAGTGTCCCAGCTGAGCTCTGGTGTAATTGTTTCTCACCAGGAACTACGGCGGGGTGTACGTAGGCCTGCCGTCGGACGCGGCTGCCATGGCTCCCAGTCAGACGAAAGCTGCACCCAAAGGTACTGCCACGTTCTGGATTTATTTCCCCTTGCTTTCCAGGGATCATTTTATCTAGTAGGATAAGTGTCCTTTAAAAATCAATTATTATTTCAGACAGACTGGCTAGCCTTGAATCCTCTTAAGGCTGTGGGGCTATTTATACTCGTCAAAGGGACTGTTCCCTTTTATTTAAAATTTAACACTCTTTTGCAGAAGGATCCTAAAGCAGATGCTGACAGTGTAGGTACATGGTCTTCTGAACATCTTCTCCACTCTCTGACTGCTCTGTGAATTCAAAGAAAACAAAACCCTGTTAGGACTAAAAGGCTGTGATAGATGCACTTGCAGAGCCCCAGCGCTATTTTTAGTTTTGAAGGTATTTACTTGCATTGTGGTGAATTCCAGTAATAACAGTTAGTAAGTGCTTGCTTTCAGGTTTATTTCTGTTCTTAAATGAAACCCAGCAGAAACTGTTTCTTTTCCATGTTATATTTTTGAGCAGTGGGAAAAAGCATTAGATTTATAGCTATTTAATTGACAAGTCATAAACATGTAATTATGAAATAATGTAATATTTTTTGATTTAACACAAAAAATGCTGCTGTCATATATGTGCAGCACAGAGTTTAGTCACTGACTGGTGCTTTCAAAATTTGCTGCAAAACAAGAAAATGAAAACCAGTAAGACTTTTAACCAAAATAAAAGTAGCTGGTTTTGGAACAGTACTAACTAAACAAAATGCATGTTTTGTTGTTTATTTTAAGATTTATAACTATCTTTGTCTTTCATTTTCTAATTAAGATTAGAAGGAAATAAAGACATCAACATGCAAACAGCCTGAGGTACAGTATGTTTTGATTAACATTATGTGCTTGGCATGCATTTGCTGAACAGAACAAGGCAGCAATGCTCCCTGTGATGCTCTAAGTTGGTCTGGGAACCACCAAGTTACATCTCCAGCTGCATCATAACTTCTCAAGGCTGGACCAGGGACCAGTTCTCAGTGGGTGCAGATATAAATTAGACAGTAGTAAAGTTGTCTTCTTGGTGAGAATTGAGAAGCAAGGAAACTCTGTATTACTTCATTTGGGAGCAAATAAAAATCAAATGTCCTAAGTGGTACTCAGACCTCCCATGAGAGGTGAGAGACATCAGCAGTGCTTAGATCAGCATCTGCAGAGACAAAGATTTTTCCAGGAATGAGGATTTTGCAGTTAGAAAACATCTCCTTTTGTGGAAGGACCTTAAAGACCATAGTGTGTCACCCACTAAGTAATGTATTCGAGCTTTCCCCTTGCTATGGGAGTATCTTTGGGGGCTTAATTTTCCACCAGCTATAATAGGACAATGAAGATTTATAGGCTCTATTCCTGAGTGAAGAGTTTTGACTAACTAAGTTTAAAAAAAAAAAAAGCTTTATAAGTTCATGTCTGCAGAAAAAATAAAAACCAACCAAGTTTCCATTCAGTACTTGAACTAAATAAACATTGACAAATTTTGATAGGGAACTGTTTTGATGTCAAGCCAGTGGGGAACTGAAAATTATTAAGCTGCCAACAATTTCCATAAGAAACAGAGCCTTTTCCCAATTTAGGTGAAAAGCCAGAAACAGTTTTGACTGGTCCTGGTGCTGGATGCAGGCCTTGTAGAGCAGAACACATAAGTGCCTTTATTATATGAGTGGTTAAAACCCCAGAACTTTTGTAGGAGCAGTCCTAAACAGGGAGAACTTCAGGTGGTCTCCATGGCTAATTTCAGTAATCTGGCTGAGATGTCTAAGCTAGAAACACCATCACCCTTGACCAGGCCAAGGCTCGAGCACCGTCTTGAGACTGCAGCTTTCCATCTGTGGTTTATGAATAGAGTCTGAGTAACTTAGGTCCTTGTCTAGGTGCTTTAGTGGAATGCTTGAGGCTGCATAGAACAAATCATTTGACCTTTTTTTTGCTATTTAAAATAGCTGAAAGTGTGCTTTGCCTTCATTCATGCAAGATCAGAGCTTAGCTGCTGACTCAAGTCTTACCCAGAAGAGCAGCTGCACAAGTTTGTGTGTGTGTGTGTGTGTCTGCAGTTCATGGACTACAAATCTCTCAGCTTCTAGTGGTGACCTAGTTCTTTGGCTTATGTATAGAACGTTCCTGTATTGCTTTTCCACTACTGCTTTACCACTCTACCTAAATCTGATCCTTTTATTTTTTTTTAAACAGTACAGGCTATTAAGACCAGTTGCCAGTGCTTTGGAGAGAGCTGTCTTTGTGCTGAAGATTTTGATATTTACACAGCCTTCTGGAAAGCAAGAGAGATCAGAGCACCAAAAAATCCAAACTGTTGCAAGTTCCAACTACGGGTAAAGCTTAAAGTACAGCGCTGAATGCGTTTCCAATGATAGTTGCATTATGGAAACCTCCTGCTGTTCTCCATTGAAAGATGAAATTAGTGAACTCATGGTGGATGTTTCTGCACAAGAGCTAACTTTGATGATCTGCAACTTATTTCTCTGTGGCCATATTGCAGATTCCATCAGCTATCAGCTACGCTTCATATATTTCCTCGAACAAGTTTGATAGATTTTATATAGAAAACCATCACTACTCTCCACTCAATAGTTTCTATGGTAGGTTCCTGTAAATTAATTGTTATTTTACTTCAGAGTAATATATTTGACAAGTTTGCATCTTTTGGGGAATATTGCAAATTTTAATATTTTTTCTGTGAAATATTAAAAATAGGATGAAACAAGCTTAAGACCTTAAGGTTCTTTATAATTATTACTGTCCCTTTTATACCATGAGACAAATATTAGTGTTTAATCTTCACCTTGTAAAATGATGTTGCTCAAGGAAATTGATTCAAATAAGAATGATATACTTCATTGTATTATTTACATGTATGTTTATATTTTACTTTACTTTTATAAAGCATTACATGTAAAAAAATACTAGCAAAATAAACTATTATGTGTTCCATTCAATGTAATAATAATATGTCCTTGCATAAGGCTGAAGTGATGGTATTTTCAGAGATAATGGGATTAAACTCCAGTGCTGCATCCTCCTGACCTGTAGAGGATTTTTGATCACTGTTAGAGTTTTGTATCCCTGTCTCATCTGAAAGCATCTCCAGTATGGCAAATTGAAACAGAATGAGCATTATTACTACTATAGCAAATTGTTCAGGTTTTAAAATTCATTAAGTTAATAGCAATTGTAAGTTTCACATAGGACACAAAACAGATTGTACATTTACAAATGGCTGAATAAGTATTTCAACTATTAAAGCTTTTTGCATTATTCTTTAGTCAAACTCTTTTTAATGGGACTTGATGTGCCATACACTTTAAATAATCAAATAAACAAAAAACCCCACCCAATCTGCACCATGTTAATATATTACTGTACATTCATGACCATTTTTAAAATTAAAAGAAAACAGCAAACCAGAAAATTTGGACATGAAGAAATAAAGCACTGTGAACCATGAAATTCCTCCCCTTTTCACTGATACCCATTACTACCAATCAACTACCATTGACTATGATTTCCAGTAACTTTCAGCTTTCACTTTTATATAGAGGTAGCTTGATGTGAGGCTTGTAAAAAGAGATATTTAAAATTATTCCTTGCTTGTCCTCTTTTAATTATTTGTGACATTATTTATTGCTATTCTTTAGAAATCTGCTACTTGGGTTATCAAAAATTTCAGGCTTCCAGCTCCTGAAGACAAACTTGCATCTCATTCTTGACCATCAGCCTCAAACTGGTATGAAATAATCCTGAAGATTAAGATGTGGTGTTAAAATATCTCTCAGTATAAATGAAAGTCTGTAGATTATAGCTGCAGTGTCTTGTTGCAAGCCAGACTGGTGAGGACTCAAGTAGCCCTGGGTGATAAGCATGCAGGCTTTTCTCCTACCTGCTTACCATAGTTTCCACTTCACGTGTTCCACAAATGGCCAAAATGGTTTTCATAACACAAGTTTATTTAGTACAGAGCAATGCCTGACCTGATCACAATTGTCTTTCCCAAAGCAGAAAAAGCACCAGTCATCCTAGGAAACATCAGCGTTCAGCTTGTGCTCAAAAAGCCAACAGCAGATGCCAGTAATCAACATGGTTTTTTATCCACTTCTATCCTTCAGTTGCTGAGAAGAATCATCAAAAAGGTGGACAGGGCTAAACTTGAGCATCACTTGTTCTCTGCTACTGAGTTCTGAAGCCCATGTGTGGGCAGAGGGAAGGAAGAGGTGATTGCTGATGAACAGCTCCTTGCAGCTGGTGGTGGGACAGTTGCAAAGGGTACTTTCCTTGGTTCACATCATCGCTTGTTTTTCCTGTGCAGAGCTACAGAGAAGCTTGGAGCACTTTTCAGAATTGGTCTTTTAATGTTTCATCATCTGAATGTGTGGGAGGTACAGTGGTTTCTTAAAATTTTTGTTGCTCTGCATCATTTAATCTCAAAAGTTTACTGACCAACTGACAAATGTGCAGCATCACACACTGGAACCTCTAAAATGGACATACATTAATTTATGCTATGCAGATCTGTGCCATCAAACTAAAGAGCTAGGGCCATGCCCTTGTCTTCAATTTGCAGATTCTTGTCTTTTGTTTTCCCAAAGATCCATGAACCTAGAAACTGTGTTACAGGATGCTGTATTCTGTCCTGGCAAAATTCCACTTAGGGAACTGATTTTCTGCTCATGAAAAGTTCTCTGTGGTGAGCAGCCTTTGTTAATAAAGCACATGTCATTTCATGGAGAAATGAGTGTATCTGCTCTTTCAAAACTTACAATCTATGGATATTTCTGTTAGGAGGAGGAACAGAAAAGAAACCCTATATGCCAGCTGCCAGCTGTGCATGTGACGGCATCCTTGGAGAATATTTAGGCACTCAAAAGATGGTTTAGTGGGAGAAATGAGAACAGATCACAAGGAGCCATAGAATGACAGAGTTATTATTAAGGAATATACTTTGGTTTTGTCAAAACATCTTGAATTACCATTTGTGAAAAATAAACATTTAAATGTTGGGGCTGTAATACTATTTTCCTTGCAGTGGTTTCTCTTTCTCCAGCCAGAGCTGAGGAGCCAGTGGAAATAATTCAGCAAAGAATTGATTTGGGCTTTATAATCTCAGAATCTCTGATCTGAAATTCTTTGGTAGCCCAGAAATATTATGCTCGAATTCATGAATCTTGAAAAATTCTGGAGTAGGAAAACAAGATTGAAACGACAGTTAGTGACCAGCTGAAAAACACTCAAAATATCTTGTATTGCAAATTTTGGTCTTGTACAAACTATATCACCTCAAAGCTTCTCTTTTGAATTATGCTAATGAGACAGTGCATTTATTTTGCTTTCTACTTAATGCAGGTGCTTTGTTGTAAGTGCCCAACTTTTCAGTTTCTGGGTAGTCCAAATACTGCCTGTCTTTTATGTGCCATACACATCCTAGTGTACTTCAGATGATGTGACAACTCTAAGCCTCTGTGTTGCTCAAGGGTTAAATCTTGTCACTAAGAGAATTGCAGAAGACCTGGTAAAAGCCAGTGTAAGCTTAATTAGAACTTCATTCACTAGAAATGAAATCCTTTCCTAGCAAAGAGTCCACACAAGGCTGAAGCTGCAGAAAGTCATAGTGGTGAAATTTGTCTCTAATAACACAAAGTACTAATTTACTTGTTTTCATCCTGCATGTCTGGCAGAGGAGACTCTGCTGTATGGAACTATGGTTGAAATGGCATCCCTATTCCCTGTCACCCACACAAGTCTAGCAATTCTCAATAATCATGCTTCCCAAGCAGTCAGTGAGTCACTGCTGATCTGTTTTCTGCAAAGTAGACCTCTGTTTGGTTCCCATGGTGATCAGAAGTGACAATTATTACGGGCTGCTACTACAGTTTCTCAGTTGTGTGTGCCCACTAAAAGAAGCTCTTACCTGGTTATAGTCTCTGGGTGTTTTGCAGTGCATCATCATTGCTTCCTATTGACAGCAATTTAAATGCTTCAGGTGAATTGGCTTTGTATAGAACAGGCTGGAGGAGGGGGATTTGGGGAGTATTTTTGTTTTGCAATGTATTTAGAACAAGATGAAGAAAATAAAAACTCTGTAAACTTTCTGTAGAGCAATGGTGTTCCAGTATTGCAGGAAATCTTTTGAGGCTGGGCTAAATGACTCAACCCTTGCTTTAAAGACAATCAGGAACAGAACTTAGGTTTATCATAATAGGAGCTATTTCATTTTACCTGATCTGACAACTTTTGCTGAAACTCAGGGGTTTTCAAACACAGAAGAATTTCCCAGACAGCAGAAATCTGTTACCCTGTTGTGGGATCTTCTGTGTACTGGTCACTATCTGGTCACTATTAAAATACTTATAGCTGAAGATAGGACTCAGCTCATGAACCAGATCCTTCTGTGAAGTGCAGTGAAACTCTCATTAGCATAACTGTACTGAGAAAAGTACCACAGAATGAAGCCTGGGTAAAAGTGGGATTTTTGTGCCAGAAAGGATAAAACACAAAGGAGAACAGGAGAATGGGGATTATTATGCAGTGAAAGCAGATGTAGAAAGAGGTTAGGAACAGAAAATTATGTAAAAAAGGAAATACCTTAATTAAGTATCCATTGCATTTCTCTGTGATTCTACTCTCTAGTAAATAGAGCAAGAAGTAGACAGCTGCCAAATTGTTTTAAGACTGAAGAGAAATAGGAGTTGGCTTCCAGCTCCAAATGGGAGTTGGTCATTCCAACCCTCAGATGTCTGAGACTGCAAACCTTTAAGGAAAAGACTTGTCTCATTTTTATGTGCCTAAAGTCCAGTGTAATAAGCCCATGTACCTTAAAGGTCCTTTTGGGTGTTACCAGGATATATAAATATCCTGCTGTCTCTTTCAAAATTTCAAAATTTCTTTAATTATTATTCTTAGTTTATATCTCTATGCAGACTGTGAAAATACCTAAGATGTAAAAACAATTAACAAACAATCTAAGAATAGGGATTACAGAACATGCAAAAAGGAAGCCAATGTTTCATATGTAAAGCAGTGTAGAGAGAGAACCTAAGATTTGGTTTAGTTATGCCATGTATTTTAGATTTCTGATATAACTAATGGATCACTGTGCAAGTGATTTGTGTGGGTCACAGCACCTTATTGGTACTCTAGAATTATCTGTCCACTCACAGAATTTTGTTTCTGGTCTTTGATTCCTATGTACAGGAGATGGCAGTAATGTGAAAACTAAATTCCACACTTCACCTTTGTTGCCCACTTCTTGTGTTGTCTGAATCTCAGTGTTGTCTGCAGGATGGCTTCATCTCCATAAAGGCTGAGGTTGTGATTCAGAATGACAGTTAATTAGAAGCAAGTCATATTTGATAACATATGTGGGGGATACCAGTTTTGTGGGGGATACCAGACTGCTAGAAAATGCAAGACTTCACTGCAGTTAGGGAGGTATACAAACTTTGGAGAGTCCACACTGCATCACTGTCAAACTTGACTTGGCAGTATGCAAGTACAAAACCACACACATAAATAAACAAAATCAGAGAGGTAACACACACTTTCAAGCTTATATCTAATATCATGCTTATGGTTATGTATTACTGGAGTCTGACTGTAACCTTGAGCTGTGAATATTTACCTTACCTACAGCAAGGTTTGCATTCCCCAAAGGATATTGCTGTGAGGAAGCCTTGGAAGGACTCCCGCTACCTGATTTGTTTGTAGGAGCCTCACATGCTTATGGGAAATCAACCAATAGACTTTCTCTAAAATTAAAAGATTTAATCAGATCATAATGCATAAATAATATCAACTTGATCAAACTCCAAGTATCTAGTTATTAAAACAATGTACTTCATATTTGAAGTCTCACATGAAATCAGCTGCCTGCTTCTTTTTCCTCTTCCAAATTATGAGTTACCTTAATAAATAAATACATAAATGAATAAATATATAATTAAATTCTTTTGGCTTTACAAGGAACTGCTTCAGATCATCAGATGGAAACAAACCTTTTTTGGCAGGGAATTAATTTCTAATAAGGAAACTGTGCCAGCCAGGAGAGACAGAGGGCTTATAAATTCCAAATTATTTTAATAGGATGAATAATAGTTGGAGAATTTACACAGCACTGTTAAAAAGCCTTTGTTTAAGACATCATTGCTTGTGTAAGCATTGCTTCTTGAGAAACCCACGATTTCCAGTGAAAACAACCCTGAAAATCACTACTTAAAAAATAAGTTTTGATTTATGATAATATTTTCTCAAGAGCAGCATTATAT